ATGATAGATCACAGTTGAGCATCTTCAACTCAGGTAAACTGTCTTGAGCCATCTGATGTTAATCATCCTGTCTGTGAGATCCTTGTGGCCATTTGGCACTGCCCACATTCTTCCAAGCAAGGCATGATGACAGAGAGAGAAACATCACACCACTCCTCACAGCATTAATCACAGCTGACTTGTCCTGCTAATGAAAAAAACGCTTCCTCTGTCTCTTGTTCCTTCTCATATCTAGCCAACTACTTGCCTTGGGGGGTATGAACACTGAGCCCAGATTACAACCAAAGTAAGTCCTTAGCTTGGAATAGTTTGGAACAGCTTCTTTGGAATAGTTGAAATTTAAGCTGCACTGTTTGTTTGTTTGTTTGTTTCTTTTTAAAAGGCTGCAACTCCACTTCCACAAAGACAAATTTTTAAAATGACCAGGACATTGACCCAGGTATACAGTAACCCTGTAATGATTGTACTGAGTAAGTTCATTAACACACTGAAGGTAGAGGAAGAAGTGCTTTGGTTTTGTTGTTGGTGACATTTTTGTTTTTCTTTGTTTTGTGTTTGGTTTTTTCATTTTTTTGTGGTAACACATTTTACATTGGAATATCTACCCATTTTCTGCTCATCTCTCAAACTGAAATCTGTCCAGAGATTACCAGCACGATTCATAACAATTTGGGTGGATCTGAGTTAAGATCTCCATTACAGATCCAAAGGAAATAGACACAGCCCAAATCATGGATGCTTGCACATAAACATTGTCCATATCCACATACATTAGGAGTCCCCTTGTCAGTGCAGAAGCCCTGCCTGAATAGTCCTGCCCCAGAGGAAAAAGGCATAGCAGTGATGCAAGAATTGGAACTGGAGAAAGAGGGATGCTTGAGAGGCCAGCACTGAAAGACACTGACTGAGACAGCATTTAGTCTAGACCTTTCTCAGCAGCTCTTTGTCTAGTTTACACTTAAAAGCTTTTAGCACTGGAGTTCTTCAGACTTCTCTGATTTCCTCCAGTGCCAAACTGCCTTCCAACTGTTTATGAGGAGAGGAGACTCTAGATGCTGTCTTTTAACCATTTTTAATATGGGTGATGTTCAGAAGATGGAGTCAGGCTGTTCTTAGAGATGCCCAGTGGGAGCCATGGACATGCGTTGCAGTTGAAATCCATACCAGGTCTTAGAAGTAGAGTTGCTCACAGAAAGTTTGGTCAGCTGCAGAACCAGGATATAAAGCATGTAGCCTCTCCATTCTGATAGGTACTCAAACTGTACTTGAAAAAAGCCCTGAGTGACCCAATCTGACCTCCTACTTAGCCCTGCTTTAAGAAGGAGAGGGACCAGAGATTTACAGCAATGCCTTTCAGTATAAACTATCCTGTGATACTCAATTTTTATGATGATGTTCTTATGATTAGAAGTTTTTGTTTTTTGGGGTTTTTTTGGGTTTTTTTTATGTGACTAAATTGTTGCAAAATAAGCCAATTTCTGGAAGACTATTACCTTGTTCTTCTTCAATGTGCTCTTCTCTATGGCAAACAGTTGCTGGCTCAGTACAAATCCTGTTCAGGGTTAGCTAAGGTACCGCCAGGAAACTCCAGGCTTCTTTCCAAATGACCACTTCAGGAACCTCTTTTGTTTGAATCAGTCTTGCTGAGAAATACTGAGATACTACAGGAAAGAAGTTCTAACATCATTGCTAGACTTCCAGGAACCATACTCCCTCTGTGCTTGGTTTGGAACTGGTAATGGGAGTTCACAGTTCCAGTTCGGATCATGATCATGCTGCAGAAAACTCCCTGGGCCGTATGAAGTGCCTGCTACATCAGCAGTACAGAATGATTGCACTGTCCCCAGCCAAGATGCAGCAGCTTGAGCTGTGCCTCTGTCCCCTCACTTTGCAAAGTGACTATCCAGGTAAGGGAAATGCACTGTCCACTGGAGGGGAAGCCATCGTGGCTGTTTGAGTGTGCAGGACGTGAGCTCAGGGCAATGCCAGAGTTATAACTCAACTCTGCTGAAAACAAACTCTTCACTTAGTAAAACATGCAGCCCCCTGGAAGCATTCAACCTAATGAAGGTGTCCCTTTTCAGGGCAGGGGCTTGGAACTACATGTTTTTTTAAGGTTCTTTCCAACTCAAACCGTTTTGGGATTCTGTGAAAACCCTGTAACAGTTTAGATAAAGTTACAGATGTCTTTCCATGCCAGCTCCTTGTGCAAGTGATCTATGATCACAATATGCCATAAAAGCAGAGCACTTCATAGGCTTCCTTCATGACAATGGTGGATTGTGTCTGCGCTTTCTGAGCATCATATCTGTTCCTTCAAGGCATCACCATACCTGAAATAAAAACAAACCTGCTTTTCAAAGGAGCCAGACCACTCCTTTTCTAGGAACACAATATATGTTCTGGCAGAATCATGCTTCAACAACTTTAGATTTACAATCATCAGAAGTAAATTCTGATTATTTATTTTGGATAAATAATGAATAGCATAAAAACCGCTGACTTTGACCTTCATTGGAAAAGTTGGTTTAATGGGCCCCATAAACTCTCCTATTGATGGCAGGTTCATAAAGTCCATATTGACTTCGGCTAAAGGCTATAACTTCTATCAATACGGTCAACAATTAATACTGGCTCATAAAGGTATCCTGTAAACTGAGTCATAGCATTATGTTACTTTACATTGCCATTAGCAAAATTTCATGTCTTCTTGAAAATGTTTCTCTTATATATCTGGGGTTTCTCAGAATAGCCTGTGTGATAGCTAGCAGCCCAGAGAAACGCTACTCATGTGGAGTGGGGAGGGAGGAAATGCCTTTGTGTTTGGCAGACAAAGCTTCTGAGAGGATCTCAGGCTTCATTTGCTCCTACAGCAGGTCTCAGTGACCAGGTTGTACACAAAGGTTTTTTACATCTGTGACAGACAGTTACAAAAAGAAAATACTCAAATTCTGCCTACTTAAAAGACTTTTCCCTAATCTTCTTCTTTTCCTACCTTGCAACATTTGTTTGGATATGTTTGTACTACCAATTCAACCCCAGTCCCTATTTTAAAGCGACCTTTTCTCAGCTCTGGACCAGTTTTTCTGGCTTGAATATGGTCTGATGTTTATGACATCTTTCCAGGGAAGTCTAAGCATCAGATGAAGCTCACCATCAGCACAGTTTGGATCTTAATATTCTCTTTCAAGTTCCACCACCTCCATTTCTCAGTATGGACAATACTATTACATTCCGGACACCACAGCAATCTAGGTTTTATTTGTGCTACACAGACTTTTGTCTTTAGTGTGATACAGTCTTTCTCATTCAAAACACCCAACATCTAAGACTGCAAATGCCTAGGCTCCAAGGAAACTCCTATATTTATACAGCACTGTATGTTCTCCACCTCTCATTTCCCTTTTTCTAGATCCTGTGAAATGATGGTTCAACGAATGGTTAGTGTGTCAGTAACCTTAAGGAAAGAGGAACTGAAGGTTGTCTCCACCCTGACATGAGTTCTATAGCCTCTGTGATTACTTTCAGAAAAGCCTTTCAAAGCATGTGAAGTTCCTAATGTGTTGTTTTTAATATAATTTCTCTTGTAAGCGATCTGTAGGTACAAAGTTGAATTTGCAGGTGTAGAGCTAGCATTACAGAAAGCAGGGAAAAAGACTCCAGCAGATAATTCAATTCTTCTCCAGTAAGACCAAATGGAAAAAAAAAAATACTAAAATTCTGTATTTTGCTTTTTTTAGTAGGCATGGAAAGAAAAAATATATGGGACAGGATTACAGCTGCTCACACATCACATGGGAAGCACAAAAAAGAGCTTGGATAGAGGAGAATGGGATGGAAGGGCAAGGTGCTTACTTTTGGCTGCTTTCTAGCAATTTTTTCTGAGTGTGCAAAACTTTAGTTGACCCTGATGATCCCTCTGATTTTTCATCAAAACACAAGGATCAGAAGGAAAACAATATAAATTGACACTGTGTGAGTCTGCTTGTAAAACACTACACTAAGGATCTTGAAAAAGTATGGAAAAGATAATTTAAAAGAATTCTTCTCAACATCCTTTGAACAGAAGGCCATTTATCTTTGAACTCTGCCTAATATATCATTATCTCCGAGCAGAAACTTAATAAGCTTCAACTCTAATTTTGTTGGAGTTAAACATAAAATCATGTAGGTGGTGTATGTCTCGCCATGTCATGCTTCCAGAGGAAAACTTATCATCATTTGTCACTATAATACTGTGGCAAAAAAGCATGAAAAGAACAAGTGATACAGTCATTTCACATGAGCTTTCTGTACTGAGCACAAGTGCCCGATGACTTGTACGCAGCAGCTATATTAAGAAGCAGGCTGTGCTATAATTGAATTAAAAGTGCAAAGGCATATAGGACTGGATGAACTCTTGGGTCAAGTTGCAATTGAATCAAAATCTCCTCTCCTTCTCCTACACTGCTTGGCAGAACTGCTGACCAAAAGGTTTGCAGACCTACAAAAGGCATGCAGGAATCCCCGCAGCTGGGGACACAAAGTTACAGAGATAAAAAATCTGTGACCTTCAGCTTTTATTTTGCACAAAGAAAAAGGCTTCTAAAAATATTTCACCATCGTTTCCTTCAGAGAGCAGTCAGCCGATTTACATAAATGAAACGGCCCCTGTCAAGGAACCAGCAAGGAAGAGAAGAGAATTATCTGCCCAGAAAATCTGGGCAAAGATAAGAGTAGCATCAGCCAGAGGAGGGGAGATTTAAATGCCTTCCCTCTGAAAGGTTGCTGCAAAAATCAAGGAGAGTATTACAGCTATTTAATGATCTCTGTTGCAGTGATAAATAAGTAGGAGCTTCTCCAGCAGTCCATTAACAAATACTCTGTAGGACAGTACATAAGGCCACGACATGGGCCTGTTAGAAGAGTGTTTTCACAGAGTCTGATAAAAAACCCCATCACAGAACCTAAGGAAGATTAAGGTGGAGTAGAAAGAAGAGACATTCCTGATAGAGCTCGAGGCTGACACTTGCATGCGCTGTCACCACTTACCGGTTTCAGTGTTCTCATGCTCCGTGTCGGTGAGGGTGAGGTTGGAGTTGGCCCGGCTTGACAAGCAGGAGCTGCGTCCAGACTTGGTGTTGCGTCCCCAGAGCCTCACCGGGTGCTCAGGCGACATGACCACGTCTGTTTCCGTGTCGGCATCCGAGCCGGCGCTGATGGAGTAGCCGCAGTGAGGCAGCCCGATGTCGGTCCGGTACAAAGTCCCATGTGTGGGTGCCACATCTTCAAGTCCCAGTTCTCGCAAGGAGAAGTTGGCTCCTGTGAGAAAAACACGTCAGCCTGATTAATCTTTAATAGGGCACGGTGCCATCTAGCACAAGTCAAGAGCAGAAGTGTTCATTCTCTACCTTAGTGGGGCACAGCAGCGTCACAACAACACACAGCAGCATCATTCCAAAGATACCCCTCTTCTGTGGTCTTGCTCAGTGTGAGACCAAGAGACCACACAATCATAGAATCATTAAGGTTTTAATATCATCGAGTCCAACCATTACTCAGCACGTCCAAGTCCACCATGAGACAATGTCTCTAAGCATCTCTAAGACCTCATCTAACACTTTTTTTTTTTACAATTCCAGAGACAATGATTCCTCCACTTCCGTAGGCAGCCTGTTCCAATCTTTGACCACTCTCCCAGTGAAGAAATTTTTCCTAATATCCAATCTCAACCTCCCCTAGTGTCACTTGTGGCATTTTCCTGTTGTCCTATTGCTTGTTATTTGGGAGAAGGCACCAGTCCCCACCTCACAACAGCCTCTTTTCAAATATGTCAAGATTAAAAGTGGCTGGATTCCTGCTTCTGGAACCTGACAAAACTCAGGGCATGTTCAGTGAAATCATCAAGTTTGAAAGCAAAAATACATGTGGAAGTGGTGTAATTCTTTAGGAGAGGCAAAAAGTAATCTTTGTGTGAGAAAAGCAAAATGAGGCATGCAATGATCAAAAGTCCTACCACACACCTGACAACTTCCCTACAATAGGCAATTTGAGTGAGTTCTGGTCATTGAAATCCCTGAAATTACATACCGTGGATTTAAATTTCCTTTGGTGATTTCACTTTCCCCTTGCTGACCACTCACACCTTGGCTCAGTTTAGCTATTCATTCTGATAGAGTCACAGCAGAGGTTATTTGGCTGCAAATAGATGCAATTGTTTAGCTGACTAAAAATACAACCTGAAAAGTGACTCTTGACTCCATGTCTAGTTACCTGCAGAGCTTCAGAATCAGACTGAATTGATATGAATAAAGCTTCAAATATTGGCACACTTTGTTTGTAAAGTTCCACAAAGAGGCTAGGGAGAGCAATTTTAATCCACATTTATTTATTAATGCATGCATTTATTTTTCAGCCCTGAATATCTTGAAAAGATTTTGGCCACCCATGAGTGCCTTTAGCTACACAGTGCATTTATACAGCTCAATGCACCCCTGCTTCTATTATGCTATGCCTTGGATGGATTAAGGAACTGAGCAGTTTGCAGCTCAGGCATATTTCAACATGATAAATCTGGATGCATGATCTCCAGGAAATTTCAGGATAAATATTCCTATTTATCCTGAAGTTCATAACTACTCATTATTGAAATCTGTTAATCAAATCTGGATCTCAAGGTTGTATCCAAAGCTGAATTATCATTTTCTCCTTTCTCAAGACCCCATAATCATGTGGTTTTTTCCCTCACATTTCTATTTGTGGATGTCAAATATCATATGGTGGAAAATATGCATCCAATGGAAATAGTCGTTTTTCTACCTTTCCAGAGTAGTTTCACACTTGTGGAAACATCCTAGCTTGTCCTTGAGCCCTGCTGCTTGGGGAAGGTCTTTCATATTACAGCACATATTAGATGCATCAGATGACAGGTTGCCAAAAGTAGATGCTATTTTACTACATTTTTCCATTCAGTTGATGTTACAGCTCATAGTGAACAGAGAGGAGATATCTGAATGCAAGGTGAATAATGGCACTGGACAGCCTTTTCAGGTATAGCTCAGAGAAGGAAGGAGCTGTTTGATGGCAGGACAAAGCTCTGGTTCAGCTGGTTATGGATCTGCAGCTGACAACACTCCAACTGCATAAAGGATTCATGAACTTCACACCTTTTTAATTGACCAAACAAGATTAAAGCTTTCAGACAGAGTGGACAGAAAAGGTTGCTTGGGGCTCACACCTCTGTCCAACCCTAGGGCCTTGCTTAGGAAGCACAGTGCAAGCTTGTGGCAAAGTAATCCATTTAACTTGATTGCAAAGTGATTTGAGAGATTGTCCTCTACAGTCTCATGGCAGGAGGAAGCAAATAAACCTGACCTAAGTTATAAATGCTAGGAAGCAGTATCTCCTCAGAGACCTTGCTCTTCTCTTCTAGTTTCGACTGATGCGTAAGGCCATGGTTTTCTAAACTATCCCTTGTGGAGTACTGAAAAACATCTTTTGGTTTTCCTTGCGTCTTTGAGTCACCGATGGCAAGTTCCATCTTCGCCTGAAAGAAGCCACACTCAGCATCATCAGGCACATCAGTGTGCAGCATGACCGATGTTCTCCAGTAACAGCAGCTCATAAATTATGAAAAATGACTGCTACAATTAACTGAAAATCAAATTTATTTGCAATAAACAGAAGCAGATGCATTGATTTTCATATTCTATGCTCACTGTTGCCTTTTAAGCTGGAAGAACTCAAGTCAATAAAAGGAAGATAATAAATATCCAAGACTTTTTAATTCAGATCTGGTCTATTTTCTCCTGTGCTGACTTGCACATTTGCTGACACTCACTCTAGCTAAAACCATTTAAATGCTGACTTGTTTATTTACTGAATTTATTTGGTCAATTTGAAATGTTTCCCTCCTCTGCCTTCCAAACCAATGCAGGAGAGAAATTCACTTTGCCTTGTTGATGTCAAGCAGGCTAATAAGGCTTGGTTTCAGCTGGCCTGAAGCCAAGCAGCATTACAAAGAAAGGTCCATTCATGGCTTACAGCCAGTGGAAAATGTGGCACAGAAAGTCTGAGATTATGGCTAACACTCTTCAGGCAAGTTTTGGGACACTCAGGATAAACTGGGAGAAAGCTTTAACTTGAGCCATTTGTGAAAGTTGTATCAGAAACAGAACTGGTGGTCTGAAGTGGTTAATCTTAACTTCTCAGTGAATTTCAGAGACTTAAACCAGTCATTTTTACTATTTCTCTGTACCCTTCAAAACTTTCCTAGGGAAGTGTGAGTTTGAGTATAGAAAATTTACACTCCCTGTCAACAGACTGGATTTTCAATAAAAGTAATCTTTTGTGGGCTTCTTAGCAGAAGTCCATGGATCTGCCTGGCCTCATGGACCTCCAAGTTGAAAACCGCTGACCTGGAATAATTCACATCTATCCTGCATGGTGAATATATTGTTGAAGTAAGCAAATGCAATGACCTAAAACGTTTCTTTTTCTTTATAATGTTATACATTCCTTAGAGAGGATAAAGTACTTCAGAGTTGCTAAGAGAGAAACAGCTTTTATGATTTCACAGTGTTACTTACAATAACTATTGGCCTTTTTGTTGATTATTGTCTGTTGCAGCTATTTTGAAACTCAAACACCAAAGCTATACACATGAAGATATTTCTGAAAATCATTTTGCTTGTAGGTGCCTTGGAGATGAGTCTTGCACCGAAACCACAACTGCACGATTTTTGAGAAGTGAAATTAAGCAGCCCCCAAGTTTAATGAGTGTAATTACATGCATTCCTTTTGGGGAATCAGCTTCTCTAAATTCCAGAGGATGTGCTCAGAGTACTCTGGGTCAGCTAGTTTATGTTCATTTTCTGGAATGCTGCCTACTCTATTTGACTCACTTTGCCATTTTATGCTTTTCTTGATGGAATTCTAAAAACAAATTATGTGAAGTCCTGGTTGGAATCTGAGCTACATCTCTACAGAAAAATGAAGATGAGTCTTATAGTAGGGGCCAGAAAACTACCTCATATAGGCATTAACAGCAGTGAAAATGTAGCTGCACTGACTTCAGGGTAGCAATAGAATATCTGGAATCTCTGATGGAACTGTGGAGTCCACTGTGACTCTCAAAACTCCACATCTTCACAGACACTGAGACTCATATTCACTAAATGTGCTCGTGTAAGTCCTAAAGTGGTTCCTTACTCCTTTAATATGGGACCATGTCCCTAAGGAAAACCTAAAGCCTGCAGGCCATGTACAGTGCCAAGAGGGTTCATCCCATCTGGAGCTCAGATGCCTCCTTTCTTCCAGGGTTCTTGGGTTTTTCTGTAGACCAGATGAACAGTGTGGACAGTGACTCTCCCCTTGTTGCCTTCTGCCTCAGCATCCTCATTGACTTCCTTCATGACAGGGCAGACACAGGACACACTGAAAGATCTCCTGAGCAGGCAGGAGCTTTCCATGCCACGTCAGTACCGTACAGTATGTGCACAGGGCGTTCTAGTCCCGTGGTGGGAATTGGCAAAGTGCTGCTTCAGACAAAAAGATTAAGACATAGAAAAATGACTTAGTAAGTGCTAATGAACATGGGATATGGGTATGCCACTTGAGGACACAGGGCTGCATACAGTGTCTGTGCAATACAATGAAGATGATCTCTGCTGCTCTCCTTAAATCTCTCTCTTACATCTTGCTTTTGCCCTCAGAGTCTTTCAAAGGCAGCCTCCCACCCAGCTCCGGCTCTCAGCTGATTCCCTCATGCTGCTTACAGCTGCATCCGCTGAAAAGTACCCACCTGCTCGGCAGAATTCATCAGCCTCCTGGTGCACCATGTCTTTGACCCGATTGCTGTAGGTCAGCCTGGAGTCCTGATCATAAGCCTTCAGGGTCTCGCTGGAGCTGTAGGACTTCTGGGGTGCCTTGCTGTCCTCACTCTCGGCTGAAGAGCTGGTGTAGCGGCGCTCAGTGTCGCGGCGCCGGGTCAGAGATCGATACGGCTTCCTTTCTTTCACATCCATGGCACCCTTGTCTGAGTATTCAACATTAAAATAATTACGTCTGCCTGGTGGTCAGATTGGAATAACCTGAAAGAGAGAATAAAGAAATTTCACGCCTGTGGGCACCCAACTGCTAATTTGCCTTCTTTATACATTCTTACACTGAAGAAAAGGGAGGGATGTTACTTAATGGATTGCAGAAAAAAACCCTCTTAGAACAATTACCAATAAAAAGAAGGTCTCAATTATGTGTGACTCATTTAATAATTGCCACTGCTAACAGGATACATATACGCTGCAACCTGCATCTGTCTGAACCAGGCATGCACTTGGGAATTGGATTGCGATATTGTGTGTCCTCTTTCCATAGGAAGTGATTCAGACACCTTGAGAAGGCATGTATTCATCAGTCACCTGATCTCTGGGAAATCAGGTAATGCTGAAATGTCTCTGTTTGGGCAACTGGAGGGCTGTGGGAAAATGCTGTCCTGTGGTTTTAATAATGCTTCCATAGATCATGAGGTTAGAACGTATGAACAAAAGAGTGAGATGGTATAAGAAGGCAAGTGGGAAGGGAGAGGGAGAATGGAAGTAGGAGGGAATGAGATGTGGATGGAAATTGCATAAATATGTCTTTCTTTTCAGAGGGCTCATCTTTACTGGGCTGGAAATACATTAGAACTTAAACAGAGCTGAGAAACTGTAAATAAATTATAGTGTTCTGCTTCATGTAACAACATGGCTTGGGATTTATTCCTCTGGAAAAACCAATGTATATATGCACTACAGTGCAAGCATACATATCTGCACACAGAGAAAACAGATATCAGAAATAAAACGTATTAAACATATTTTTGTCAAAATAATTAATGGAATTTTTACTTCAAGTTTATTAAACATGACAGAAGTCACAGAAAAAATGAAGGCAATGACTTGCATCAAGATGGAAAAACATGTTCTTTAATATCTAAACTTGTTTATGAGGAAAAATAATGACATAAAATTCCAGAAACTAAACATGGAAAATATGTAATTACGAGTTGAGCTTCTCAGAAACTGAATCCTCCTGACTGCTAAAGAAACAGAAGTTGAGTCTCTACATGCCACCCTAGGATATTGTTGTTTGCCATCAGCATTTAAAAACAAAAAAGCAAAAGGTTTAGAAAGCACCTTTCAGTTCTTGGTCTTTTTCACAGCAAATACATATGGAAATATATGGCAAGAACAGAATCACTTCTGTTGTGAATGTGCTCTCTTGAAAAGCTAAACCCTGAATGCACTAATGAAATCTTACTCGCCCATGACTCAGACCCTAGCCTTGCTTCACATGCTGTGCCCTTGATTTCAGAGAATCATAGAATCACAGAATGGAAGAGACCTTGAAGATCATCCAGTTCCAGGCCCCTGCCATGGGCAGGGACATCTTCCACTAGACCAGGTTGCTCAGAGCCCCATCCAAGCTGGCCTTGAACACCACCAGGGATGGGGCAGCCACAGCTTCCCTGGGCCAGTGTCTCACCACCATCACAGTAAAGAATTTCTTCCTAAAACCTAATCTACACCTGCCTTCACACAGCTATGGTGCAGTAGTTGAGGATGGATGTGCTGTGAGCTTTTTAAGTCAGTTTAAAGGGATGTGTTCTAATGTAGTATTTGTGGGTTTTTTCAGGTTCTGATAACCTACAAATCATAATTGTAATACTGAAGCCTAAAGACAACATTTTATTATTAATTTCTTACTTGAAAAGCTGTCTGGAACAAGCACAATTAAAAAGATACTGGAGTTGAAAAGACACTGCAGGAGGAAGAAAGAGCTACAGGAAGGTTGTGAGATAGACTGGCAGCTGGGCAAAGAGCCGGGTTACACTCCTGGTACTCTCATGGGGTTAAACCATGACACACTCCTATTTCTGCAATTCTGATTCTGCTAAAACTGCTCTCTGAGTTTTGTCCCTTTAACCTCCAAAACCAGCTTTGAAATGACAGATGCTAATTCCAACACCTTGTATGGCTTCTGTAGCATTCTTTCTGGAAATAATAATAACTATATATATATATATATATATATATATAGTTTGTCTCCCAGTCTAAGTTCACACATTCGGTTTGTCAGCAAAATGCATAGAAACTACTGAACACTTAGGGATGGAGGGAGGAAAGAAGGAGTGTCTTATAACGAGTTTTACCTAAATCATCCACAGAAATTTGAGCACCACTTTGATTTTAAAAATGTTTTTAAACCCACTAAACTCATTGACTTAAATTCATTCATGTAAATGCAATACAATGAATGCAAATGGGATTACTCACTGGCCAAAACTGACATGTTAAATGTATTGCAGAGTAAGGACACAAAACTAAGGCCTGAATGTAGAAGCAACAGTGAAGGAGATTGCATTGTGCTGAGGAACAATAGCAGCATGTAAGAGACCTACCAAATATTGCTAGATTTTTAATTTTTTTTCATTTTTGAATCAAACCTATTGGTACTTTCACACTGGAAAGAAATAAAAGAAACAGAGCATCTGATTGCCTTTCAGTGCACTGTCATCTATCCTTTTTTTAAAAAAAACAACTTTTGGCTTGAAAAATTGTGACTTTTTTTACACTTGTTATTGAATCTGTTTGTCTCCTTTATAGTATCTCTGTATGAAAATCTTTGAAGGAGCAGGTTTATCATACTTTTGAATATAACACCTTAAAACAGGCTCCTTCTGAAAAGCCCAGTATTGAGAGCCACTATAATGAACACTGAAATTGTGGTTTATTGTTATGGGGCATGGAGACAGAAGAATGTGAGTGAGAAGTGGTTACTCTCTAAGAAATAAATGAGAAAAGGTGGCTTCTATCTGCCTCCGAGTACTGTAGCAATTCCTGCCTAGGGCTGGTCATTTAAAAACCCTCTAGCAGGAGAGGAACATGTGCCAAGAAAGCCTTTTACACTGCTAGAGCCACAAGGTACAAACAGGGTCTGTAATTACCATTAGTAACCTTGCAACTTAGGAAATGACAAAAAAACATGAGGAAATTGAATGAATTCCCACCAGATGAAGGGTTTTCTTTTTGTAAGGAAAGGTGCTGAAAAACTGAAAATTCTCCTACAGTTCATCAAAAATAGCCCTGTAAATTTGCACCATCCATATGCACATTCCTCTGTAGCAGTGTTTCTATTCCCAACTCATTCAGGTCTTTATAAATTTAACTCTTCTCAACTTTTTATTTCTCTCTCCCTCCCAACTTGGCTTGACTTTCCAAATAGAAAGGTTACCTCCATAAAACATAATGAAGACTTTTTTAAAAGTTATTTTTAAAGATTGAACTGTTGCATTTACCTGACTTAAATAAGTTTCCAGCACTTCTCCATGGACATGCAGTTCTTGTCATCTCAGTTTTATGGCCCAATTCCCAGATGGTTTAGGTACCTTACTTTCAGTGGAATTGTGTGGTCAGAGAGTTTGCCTCATAGTTTTCCTGTGGTAGATTATTATTTCTTTATTTGCTACTCCTCGTGTCTAGATTTTACTTCTGCTGCAATTTCATCAGTGCCATCAACACCTCACATTTTTCCTGACTTCTCTGGCACATGAACACAAAGAATCACACTTGTCTCAGTTACATATTCAACCACCAGTTTCTTTCCGTCTTCAGCTCATGATTGCTCCTCATAATTTCAAAATTTTCCATAAACTTGCTGGACCAGATGTAAAAATCCAGACTTTCTAATATGGACGTTTCCATCTCTGTGTTCATTTTCCCTTTATAAAAGCACAAAACCCTCCTGCTCTGAATAATTTATATTTGGAAAGGGCTTTCTTGTCCTATAATGCAGTGTTTCTAGTTCTGTTTGATTCTTTCATCATCCTGCTGTCTGCATAACATATCAAATTTCACCTTTTTTCCTTTTCCTTTTTTTTTTTTTCCATTTTTAATTGTATTTTAAGGCCAATTAGTTGCAATAGCCATTCCTATTTTTGGCAGCCTCTGTGTATGGGGGTCCAATCCCAGCTGAACCACAAACTGGTCTGGAGTACAGTTCACAACTGAAGCATCCTTCTGCCTTTACTTATTCTACTCAGAAAAATCCCACTGACCCCAGAAAGGCTTACTTAGAAGTAAAAGCTTATAAAATCAGATTCCTTGATATAGTTATATTTTTCAGAAGTGTGGGACTCTTCTCACATCCCTGCATATATGTCAGGGAGTGGAGCAAAAATATCAGCTTTGTGGTGCAGCAGTGCAGCAAACGCAGTGCTTATTTGCAGCTCTCTTGCTTTTGCTTTTGCTTTGGTTGGCTCCCAAACAATCTTTTTTATGATGTTTCATCCTTTATATCTCTCCTCCTCACTCTCAGTTCTGTTGGGTTTTGTTGCTCTTTGGAGCTTTGATTAACCACACCGGCTTTGTGCTGCAGAATCTCACTCAATGAATGGCAAGGGGTATGATTTATTTTCTGAGTCACTGCTCAAAAGACAAACTTGCATCAATCAAAAACCAGACAAGGGAGTGTGACACCACAAAGCGATATGCTAGAAGGCGCTTACAGCAAAAAGGACAGGTGGTCTTTGATAGCTGACTTACATTGCAGGTCACTAATCACAGAGATTAGCAGCAAGGTGATAGACAGCACCTGTTCTGGGAGGCAGCATGTCATATCATCCAATTTTCTGTCAAAATGTGAGGGTTTAAACAGTACAGATAGCTTTATGTAGTTCCCATATAGTTATGGCAGCAGGGTGATGGGAAAGCAGGAAGAGTGAAATATCTTGTCTGCAAGAAAACGTGAGCATGAGCTCCGGTGGGCTCATTCCACCTCCACCTTTGTGCTGAAGGAAGCAAAAGGCCTACTTCTCACAGTCATTTGTTTGCCTCTGCAAAACTGCCTATGCAGAAATGGCATCATTTTACTTGGTAGGGCATGCTTTTCGTCTTCTTGAACTCAATCTCGTTTCACTGCTTAGGGCAATATTTTTCCCTATTTTTTATTGCTGCTGCCCTTTTTAGAATGAGCACAGCCATAGGATGCTGAGCAGCAAGCTTAATTTTATATTCCCTCCTTTGGGCTCCACAAATCGAACCATTAACTAAGA